CATGCATATCAACAAGTCCACCAAAGATCGGCCTTACCTGGGAGAGCTGTGTGCGGAGCGGCTCGATGCAAATCGATGCAGCTTTAAACGAGCAGAGAATTATGTTAGCAACACCAGTGGAGCGTGCCTTAAAGAATTCATGTTTTGTATCTGGAATGGCGTTGTTCGACTGTGTATACACTGAATAATTTATCAAGCCAGCCAGACTGAGGGATTGAATCTCTATTAGCTTAATCTCCCCCGTTTTGGTTTATTTATTTTGCCGCACATTCCCTCATTTCTATTCCAGGGGAGAAGGGGCCGGGGTTCTCTCCCTCTTTTTCCCTCCCGTACACCTGCAAGAATATGTGTTTTTCTGTTGGGACGCCCCAGCGGTTTTGACTTGTTAGCGTTGCTTGTTAGGGTTCAGTAGACACTCCAGCAAGAAAGATTTTGTTAACACGTCCAAGAGAGATTTGCTTTCATATTGTCTGTGTTAACAAGTGAAAGGTGAATGACAAATATTTACGTACAAGCGCCATGCTCCAAGTAGACTTTGGCCTTGTCTGCTGACGGTCCCCCGGCCTGCTCCCTCTGTGTTTAACATTGAGGGCACGTTCTGAAACTGCCGGTCTTTGTCTCTGCTACAATGGAACAGCGCAAGGATACTCATTTACAACATCGCCTACAGGGCTCCACTGGGTTCTGTATTATAAATGTAGCCTGTGCCGATTCAACCTTTGAAACAAGCTGAGGTCACATGTGGAAAAGAGAAGCCGAAACAACAACCATATTTTTTATTTTTCTTCTAGGTTGGACTTTCCTGCGGTTGAGTTATTGGATGTCTTTAGTCCTGTCTCTGCGCCTGAGCTCAGAAAGCAGTCCATCCGAAGACCCAATATATCGCAGCGTAGGCCGGGCCTCACTACCCCAAAACCCCCGGGCAGAACCCTGCTCACCCCCGCCCGGTCTTATCCTCAGAATACCCAGCAGGATCTGGAGGAAAGTCAAATACTGGAGGATATTTTCTTTATTTGCTGACAAAGAAGAAAAATGATCCAGTCACATGTATGGTCTTTTTTTTATTAATACATTTAATTTCCAATTGACATTCTAAATCAGAATGATCATGATGTTATAAAGTGTACCCTTGTAGTACTGTGGTTTTAATACAAATAAACAAATATTTATACAGAACTGGTCATGCTTTTCTTTTGTAATTGATGTTGCCACAGTTAGCTGATTATGTCTTAGGCCAAGTTTAATACTAACTTAATTCATGATAAGCAATCTCACATTGAGACTCTGTTTGATGATTATGACTAAAATGAATGAACCTGAAGCATAAAAACCTCACATATACTACATGTGAGTATATGTACACATATTACTAGAAATCTTTTCATCTGTTTTTAAGACAACAGAATATCTGGGACGTTTGTGCAGGTGGTTGCGTATTGAAATCAGAAATGATGACACAACACAGGACACTTTTATTCTAGACTGTGCTTTATTATTGGGCTAAGCTGAGACGCATCATTCATTTAAAATTACAAAAAAAGAGTTCAGGGGACCAGAGAATGGTGCAGTCTGGAGAGACAGGGGCGGGAGCCTAAAGCGCACTGCCCAATCAGAAGCTTAGCTCATCAGGAACCCGGCAAAGCTTAATATGCAACATTCATTTCCCCTCCCTCTGTGTGTGCTGACATTGGGAAATAGATTTCCAGAATACTTTGAAAACCATATGAAGGAAAATGTGATTCTAGCAATACTACTGCGCTTTAGAAATAAAACCACTGATAACAGCACTGAGAAAGAATGATAGTAACTCAATGGTTTCTGATGAGATAGTGCAGTTTTCATTGAATTTTACTCTTGTTAGAACACATCAGTTGAACAAGATCAGAGCTCTGTCAAACAATGCAAAGCAAGAGGAGAAAGGGGAGCAGGGGAATCAAAACAAATCAAAAATGTTTTTTTTGTTTCAGGCAGTTAATCAGAGATTAGTACTTCATCAGACTTCAGCTCTTTTATACTGTATATTAGCAGCAACTCATAGTGACCTCAAGGCATATGTTCTTGTGATTACACGTCTGATTGGACAGTTGTATTATGTAAAGTTTACCTAGGTTTCAGAATGGAAGCTAATGCTCATTTGTTAACAATCTTTTAACAAAGCTAAATTTTTTAGGAACAGAACAATATGAATTAATAATTACAAATATACATAAGGCTTTAGTATAGTACTGCATTGCTTTGAATAGGTAATCGGCAACAGGAAAATGTAAAAACCAGTCTTTGAAGTTGTTAAATACGGAGGTTGCTTGAAGTGTTAATATGCAATGTAGTGATACAAAGCAACAGATCAGTGGCAATAAGAGAGCTCAGATCTTGAATCAAACAGCACAAATAAATACATAAATAAATACATCAACTCAAAATAAATAAATAAATAAATAAAGGATTACAAATCTGTCTTTGACATCAATTGGTCAATAGGAGCGTGTTTCCCCCTTCATGAAGGCATGGTCCTGCAGACAGGAGCGATGATCATCGGTGGACCACAGCAGTGGCCCATGCATGTCATATAAAAACTATTTGGTCACGTACCAACTCATAGAAAAATAATGCCATGAAAGCATGCATATTATCTTGGACATGACTTATAAATAAATATCTAAACAAATAGATAAATGAATAGAACCCATCAAAGTATTTTTTATTTTATAAAATAGGTCAATGTGTCTAAGCTCTAACTGAGGTCAATGCTCTCCCTGACTGTATTCTGGATAAATTTCCTTGGTCAGGTCCTACAGCTTGTACCGTATCCTAGCGACTATTTTTTTTTTGTACCTGGTTTTATTGAGCATTATCATGTTTTCATTCATATATTTTTTTAAGTATTTAAAGTACTTTATCCAGTCCTTGTAGATAGAAGTAAAAGTCCTATAAAATATGCAAACCTATGTACAGAGGAAAACAGAGCAAAAAAGGAAACAATTTACAGTATATTCATCGGTTTATGTATATATTTATATATATATATTTATATTCAAACTTCTGCTCTGTTTCTTGTTGTTTTTGAACCACAATACTTTGTTTTTTCTTTTCTCATGTAAACTTGCAGCTTTAAGTCGGAGCAAATGAAGAAGAGGTGATTGGCTTTCTAGTTCCCGCTGTCGATCTGCTTCTCCTCCCTCACTTCCCTCAACATGAAAACATGGGCTAGGTGAAAGACATGAGTGATTGCTCAAACAAACCATTAAAAAGCACAGACCGTGTCCACACCTTTTTTCAATTTCCTCAGAGCGGCGAGGGCCAGTCAAAGAGGGCACAGTGTGGCGATCAGGGACACCAGACACATGACATTTAGCTCCGGATGTTACTGTTAGCTCAAAGGCAGCCGGACGTTTTGTACTAACCAACGGCGGCTACTGTCGGGGTGAAAATGATCACGATGGTCATCTGGTTTCACACTGTACGCCACAGTGGGGGCCTTGTTATGTGGCATATACAAACAGTGGCATCCTGGGATGTGGAGTGGCGTCTTTTAGCCCCACTGGATTTGGAAGGTAAATGTTAAATTATTCAATCTGCTAAAAAGGTTACACACAGACACCAGGGAAAGGGCATAATGAGCAATTTATAGGAAAAACTAGTAATAGCACCCAACAGGAAGCATTGTCTTCCAAAGTGTCATATAGCCTTATAAATATTCAGATATATAAATATTCATTGAGTAATCTCCACCAGCTGAATATGTGTTGAATGCGGGGACCAATAAATCCAAGTCCGTTGACCTTTTGCAGGTGTATGGTAAGTGTTCATACCATTTTTGTAGACTTTTATGAGAAACTGTATGCTAAAGCAATATGAAACCAGCCTCAGTGGCACAGCAGTTCTAATGGGAAAATGGCTTTTCACTCTTATTGCTTCATTTTACAGTTTCATTATACTTTTATGTTTTATATTTGAGTGTATGAGGATAAGGCAATATAACATCTTCTAAAGGATATGCTTCATGTCAAGTATTACCAGCAGATCCACACATTAACTGCTGGATGTGAAAGTACATCAAACCCTCCCTTATTCTGCTCAATGGGATGCCCGCGCTCTAATTAGAGCATATTCATCAATATGACATCACTTTCATAACCATTCAAGCCTAATGTCGGGTCCGATGAGCTCAATCACTTCTCATATCAAGACACGTCATGTCAGTCGCAACCCTGACATTTACCCTAGACTCCAACCAGTGGAAAGTACACAGCTTTGATAGTTAGCACCTGTGCTAACAGGTTACCTAATGCCCGCTTTTATTTGAAGGGTAATCGCATGATTATTTCTAAATGCTTTTTTTTAGAGACATTGATGGCCAACAGCTGTAACATTGGACATGCACTGAAGCTCTCTACGCGGCTGACAAATGATATGGATCTGGCTGTAGTTTTGACATCATAATAGCGCGTTGGCTGCTTGCAGTGGTATGTGTTGAGCAATTTTTTTTTTTCTTTCGTTGTTTTCTGAGAGCACAGTGCTTGATGGCAGATTCTGCAGGTGACAAGGCACACCTTGACATGGTGACAGCCCATACGCTACATGCACTTTACTGAATGCAAAAGAGAGCAAGGGTTGTGAGACGTATTCATTTTGGTTCAAGTTTCAAAGAGAAGTTTGTGTGTGTGTGTGTGTGTGTGTTTGTGTGTAAGCTCAAAAGATATGTTTGGAATAGAGTCGAAGATAATTGTCCTTTTCCTCTAAAATCATTTAGCCTGATTCTCTTAAAGCCTGCTACTGAGATGTGGCTTTTTGCATTTTCAGATAATATTTACACCATGTGTGCATCCTCACACATGTATCTTTTAGCAATATATCGTGTGTCAGCATATAGTTAATCAGAGATAGGAATGCCTGCAGTTTTGGGAGCTGCCAGATTTGCGATTCTTCCCAAGCAGAGCAATGTTTCAAACTCCAGCTAAAATCTACAAAAAATTACAGCTCAACATAGTCAGTAGCCGTTCTATATACAGACACACATATATAAAATATGTGCATATAAATACATATATTTGTTTGTGATTAATATCTATTTATCCATATATACTGTATATATGAATACATTTGCTTGAATGCTTGTTATACATATATATGTACTGCAAATATAAACAAGTTCATATATTTCAAACGTTTCTGATGTTATTCTATCTATGAGGTTAGGATGTCAAGTTAAAAAAGATAAGGCTGTGATACGGAGCAGCCCCTCCCATGCACTCGCCATCCCTCCCAAGACAAAATGAGAAGAGAAAAAAATAAACATTTTGAGTAATTGTAAACTAGCGAAGTGAGAGACCCCATCTGGTCATCTGAAATAGTTTTGCCTGTATTCAAAAAAGCATATCAGCAATATATATGTATATATACATGTGTTGTATATATTCGAAATGTACACTTCTTTTAAGTGCAACTCCCCAACCAGTATACACTGACTGAAGGAGATGCAGTGGTCCGAGTATATTAGAGCTACAAGTCCTCAGCAATAAAAACGTTTGGTCTTTTGGTCCCTAAAACAACTAAGGAATGACAGGTAAGACTCCCTGGAGACCGTTGCTATGGCTCTCCTTGGCAACGGTATCCCCTGGAAACGGACAGGCACTCCGAGCTAAAGATGGCCATCCCAAATCGAAGCCAATTTGTGTCCTGAAAATATCACATTCCCTACTTAAGTTCTCTCGCCGAGAATTTCTTGTCCCTTCGCGTTTCAAGTCTTATAAATTGGTCTTCAAAAGTCAATTGCCCCAAACTCAAACCATCTTACGGAAAGATCTCCTACGGCAATCTTCTACTCAGTTTTTAAAAAGTTTTTGTTCTTGTTGGACTTTTGACATCCGTATTCCCTTTAAGAGTTCAGTAGGGTTGGTCATTGTAAGTAGGTTTGATCGAGTTACTCTTACTGTTTTTGTTCTCCTCATTGTTCAAGTAAAAGTTTTTTTGTGGTCCAGAAAAAAGGTAGCTGTCATTCAAGCAGGGTTTTGTGGGGGGAAGAGGTGTGTATATGTGTGCAGAAGAAAAAAGGTCCTGGGGCTAACCAGGCTGGTACAAATTCTCTCTGAGTTCCAAAGTTTTAGTACATCCAAAAGGAGGCGTCCTTGACTCGGTCATCGTTTTCTCTCTCTCTCCTCTGTTTTTCTGAAGCAGCCTCAGTGGTCCGGATGTCGAGTTTGCACTCAGTGGCGGGTAGCAAGAAGTCAACATATGATTCAGCTCAACAAAACCTGAAAACACAGAAGAAATACAAATCTATTGAGTCAAGTTGCAAGTAGGAAAAGCTAACAAACACTGTGTTGTTCCATGCACATTAAAAGTTAGTAAAAGTATTAGCCTTGCTACTGACGAGGCAATAGGGATTCTCAATGGCAATCAATCAATTGGTTGGTCCACCATTTTGGTCCAGAGCGAAACATGTCAACTATTGGATCACCAACAGATGGTTTGGACATTTATGATACCCAGAGGACGAATCCTACCAACATTGGGAATCCCATGAGTTTTCCTTTGACGCCATTATAAGGTTGACATTTCTAGATTTTAGGAAAACATCTCAACAGTTATGGACAGATGGCAATTTGGTACATAGGCTACAATGGATTGATGGTCCCCACAGGATGAATCCTATAGATTTTGTTGTCCAAGTGTTCATGGTGAAGACTTGTTGTCTAGTGCCACCATCACGTTTGTCTTTTGTTGTGAATTGTTAAGTGTTTCGACAACTAATGAATGGAAGTGCAATAACAAATGATTAATGTCCAATACTTTCTTTTGTAACTTAATACCTCTAAGACTAATTACAATCCTATTAGCCTCAGCTGTACTTTTTTTTTTTTTTACTGTTTGTTAATTTACTCAGACCTCTGTTTTCTGTATTCAAAGAGACAGCTTGTCTTTGTGGGCCTAAATAAACATTAATCACATAAGAGACCCACATTCTACATTACATTAGAAAAAGTTAATGGGGAAAACATTTGACATTTTTGCACGTTTTGCTGTTTATTCCTGACAGTATGCCCTCTTTATATTTATACGGGCTGTATCAACATGCAGATGGAGCAGCAGAATATGAATTTACAATTTACACATTTCTCCCTAAATCATCCTCTCCAGCACTAAGACTCTAAGAAGTTCTGGTATGGATAAACAAAGATAATTTGGCAATGTTGAAAACAAATCATTGCTCACCCTGCAGTGAATTAATTTAGCTCCCTGGCACTGTTGTAATCTCCTTCTTGAAAAACAATTAAGTTTCGTTTTTTATTTAAATCACACCGTCTAATCCTGTTTTTAAAATGATGAAGGGATTTTAAATAAAGAAACACCTTAACCCTCAAGTGTCATAAGAAGTTAAGCAGTCCTCTAGCTTGTATTTTAACAGTAACACTTTGTGCAGAAATGTTATCAGTTGTAGTGACTGTCAATCTCGGGCTGCAAGAACGGAAATCAAAAAGAGATGTTTTCTCTGGCGTTCCGTTGAAAATGTTTTTATATATCAGAAGTAATGGTGCCACATATTTTGTGACACATCGGTACCGGTTCGCGCTATTCTTCCCGCAGTGATATGCCTCGGGACAGCGTCTGGTACGGTTCAGTTAGTTTGTGAGTGGGTGATAAGTTGCCCTTGAATGAAGTCATCAGTGGTGAATGAACGACGCAGCCCAAACTCTCCATCACAAAGATGAAGGGAGGAGACAAAGAGGAACAGCACAATTACCCGCCTGAGGGGTAATAAATGCCTCTCCCTTGGAAGCAATTCCTTCCCTGTGCAACACACTGAACCATTTACCAATTATATTTTACCTACAGGGTAACGTCCAGGGTCACTTACTGTAAAGCTGTACTACAAATAGAGGAGGCTTCATGTTAGTAAACGCTCCTACAGCTTTGTTTGTTATAACCGGCCATTAAAGCTGATTGTTATATTTATAAGACGCATGGCAGAGGGCATAACATTTCACAACATAATAACATATTTGACATTTTGTATCCCTTATATAATGTTAGTCATCAAACTGTAAACATGACTGAAAGGTTTTGGATTTGTATGTTGTTAAATGGTGACTATACACTACTGTAAATCTTATACAACAATGACGTAGGTGGAATTAACATTTACAAATGCGTACTTAAACTATCAACAAAGAGGGTAACATTTCATCACTATTCTTCACAGGCAATTTGCAGATGATCAGGCAGTTATTAGGCTTCTGCAAATGTTTTACGACATTTATAAAAGGTTACTGAAACGACATCAGCCGGTGCCAGAAAGAGCTTGCCATTTGAGCATTTTGTCAATACAATATGCAGCGATTGGTTCAGCTAATCACCGATCAGACTAAAGCCACAGCGATTGTTAGGAGAGCCTGACCTGTCTTTCCCTGTGTGCGACGGCTGCCCCGGCCGCCAGGGGGGTGGCGGCTGGCTGGGGCGGGGGGCTAGTAGGGGCGGTTGGCGTCCTTCGGCCTCTTCAGCTGCACCTTGAGTCTTTTCATGCCGATCTGGAAGCCGTTCATTGATTGGATGGCAGCTTGGGCACTGCCTGGGTTGTCAAAGCTGACAAACCCTGGGGGGAAAGACGGAAGAGAGAGAGAAGGAAGAGGACGCGGTTAGATGAAGAGGCAAGGACAGTCCGGGGTTACAAAGTAAGGAATAATGAAGATGGGTTCTATAAGATGAAACACATATAGTAATGTAGAAATTCACAATAAAATAAATCATTGAATCTATGCAGAAAACAGTTAAAAAGCACAATTACTTAGCATTAATATAACAACTACTTTAGCCACATTATACAGCGCTTTATAAGCATTAATACAGTATGACAACAACAATGGTTCACAATTATAACAACATGCAACAAAATCACGATATGAACTTGGTGATGGGATGTAAAACCAAAACATCAACGTGGTTGTGCTATTTTTCTGAGTTTCGCTTTTTAACCCCCACTTGAAAGTGAGAAAGCATCAAATCACAAATTAAAGCCTGCATCTCAAAATTGCAACATGAATAATACAACATTAATGTTGTGTTGTATTAATGAGCAAAAGCTACTTTGCAAATAGGTTGCACCTGACGGACTCTCCATTAAATATTCTCCACCAGCCATTTATAATTTGCCTCATAATTATACGTTGGACTAAATTGTGCTGTCAGTGGCACAAAGTGAGACAGCACTCTCTCTGTCATTGCATGCTCGAGCGACTGTTATATTCTTAGCACGCGTTGCTGTTGCTTACAGTAAATTAGAGACTGAGAGCCGTTTGTATTATATGCATAAAGAGCACAACTATGCAAATAACACAGCTCACTTCTATCAAAAATAAGTTTGAATATTGATGTGTTATAGTGTATATTACTAAAATAATGATCAATGTAAGAAATAAGTTCAAAATAAAACTGCTTTAATGATATATAAACTAGCCTAACAACCAGCTTCTGCACAACTGTAGAGAACTGTCTCCACTGTTTTGTTTTCATTTTTTGTTCAAAGGGGAGGGGTGTTGAGAGGTTAGGGAGGGGGTGTTGACTGCGGTAAAGAAGGTGATTAGTAAAAAAGAATAATCAGAATAAATAACCAATAATCTTTTGGTTTGTTCATTTTTACCCACCAAAGCATTTACTTTGGTTTGTCGCCCGATCCACAAACACTTTGGAGGAGATGACATTACCGAAAGGCAGGAACATCTGCATCAGCTCTCCATCCCCAAACTCCTGAGGGAGGTGGTAGATGAACAGGTTGCAACCCTCTGGTCCTGCATATATAAACAGAGAGAGAGAAGGGGAGAGACAAAATGTGGGAGGAAGAAAAAGAGATAAGGGGCAAAGGTCAGAGAGAGAGAGACATGGAGAAGCATGTGGAAAGCCGCAGGAGGAAACCTGGCATAAACTTTTTGAAGATAGTCAATCAATTTCAAGATGTGTTTTTTTTGGTCTTATAAACCATTCAACCCGAGCTAGAACATCTTTTGTGATTTCCCAAAACTTCTGTATTTTAGTTACAGTTCTTGTCACTGATATAAAGTAGTTGGAAGAATTATGTGATTTAGCGACATGTAATCAAACCAAAACCAACAATTAGTCAACTGACAGTAAATGATTAATTAACCATTTGACAATAAATTAAACCTTAGTTTTTCATGCAAAAATGCTGAAAGACTTTGCAATCGTGCTGTAGCTCCTCAGTGATGACACAACGAAATGTCTTTAACTGTAGACATGTACTTCAAAGGTGTCATATGGGATTTAGAAATGTGTATCATTTCCTTATGAAGCTGGGTCTCTTCTCAATCTTGCAACATGCCAACTCCCACACAAAGTATTTTTTGTCTTCTATTAATGAATAATTGTTATAACACTTGCTTCCAATGGATGGATATGCGAGAACCCAGCAGGACTAACACATGTACCTGCGGTTTGAGAGAGATAGTGCCACCAGGGAGTTGCTAATTGCCTGATTACCTGAAGTTTTGAGAATGAAACTCTTTTAGCTAAGGATGTTTTAATGTTAAAGAAAAATACCAGACTTATATTTTTGTGTTGTGATAATCTAGTTTGCAATATATTTCCCTGATATTAAAAGTAGATGAATCAGATGAGCCCTAACTGCTGTACTTGTATAGCCTCTGGGAAGCCACAGCTGGTAGATGCTGGCATTGTTTTGTTTATTTTCCACAAGAGGGCAGTAAGGTCCTAAACATGGCTGTCCCAAGCCGGGAGTTCACTGAGTTCATGAATAGGTTTACAGCTCAGTTTGAAACCCTCAATAAAGGTAGTAAACTTAGTCACCCTACAAACAGGGGGGAGATCATCATTTATCATATAACCTGACACTGAATATTCATTTTTATTAAGTGTTTTATTTAATCATAAAGTTTTCTCTGTTAAAGGCTTCAAGCAAGTCTCTTCTCATCAATCCTGACTGATACTATACTCTGTGATAGTGAGAGGACTTTAAATATTTAGCTTTTCGCAGAAGGCTGAATATAGGCCTGAAAACAGAGTGAGCCCTGCCTGGATATTTAATTATTTGTTTGTTTAAACGTGGGTGTTTATTCCAGGACCGTATTGGCAGGAGGATTTAAGACAAACAGAGAAGTAAATATGAGTAAATGTTTGCAGCATGTATGAATATTTAGAAGTGAATGGTGTGCCGTGTGTGTGTGAGAATGAATGTGTGTGTGAGAATGAATGTGTGTGTTACCTTCTCGTTGCTGCTGAGGAATGATGGGTGGAGGGTGGGGGAAGGCTTGGCTGATCTGGCCGTATGCAGCGGGGTAGGCTGCTGAGACACACACGCACACAGGGCGGATCAGATAACAGCCATGACAAGATTCCACACACACTCGGATACATACAAACAATGTGATATATGCAGGGGCACAGCAGGCAATCGATCAGATAACAGACAATAGAGTTTACATGTTGCACACACACACACACACACGCACACACGCACACACACACACGCACACGCACACGCACACACGCACACGCACACGCACACGCACACATGGAGCACAACAGAGCGAATGAATTGATGTAGTTAGACTGAAGCACTTAATGTTACATGATCGAAATTCAAATTCAGAGAAAGAATATCCTTATCTCTGACACACACACACACACACACACACACACACACACACACACACACACACACACACACACGCACGCACACGCACACGCACACACACAGAACACAACAGAGAGAATGAATTGAGACTGAAGCAAA